AAAAGTATCTACAGTTTATACATTATAGTAAATTGAATGGATTAGATTACTGTATATATGTTGGACATTGATACGACTCGGCAGGACATCATCTTAAACAATATTTCACAAGACGATCAGAAGCAAACTTTCCCAAAGAGTGAATTAACAATGGCACCTTATCAATGATTGTTGTTTGTTTACTATTTGTCTAAACGATCATCGAAATAATCAGTCTGGACACGAAGTGAATCGAAACGAAGATCATCGAATATCTTACGATCAATCCTTCTATTTGCTCTTTCAGATCATTTATCATGTAAATCCATACATATCCATATATATATCAGAGCTAGTAACAGGGCACTTTTGTCCAGCCTGTCGGCTGAATTATCTTGCCTGACCTGCAGGCTAAACCAGGCCGATTGATATTTCTGTTTTTCTTCAGATTCATTACATTTTTCACTCTACTTTAATTCATGATATTGGTTTCAATTAAATATTTAATTTGTTTCCATAAAGATGATAGAATAACAATTTCTCCCAGAAAATAGTGAATAAAAAAAGAAGCAAGCATTATCAATATTTTTCATACAAAAGAGATTTAGGTTAACAAAATTTTATGATGATATCAGTACTGTTTCACACAATCGTAAACTAATTAACCATAATAAAAACAGCATATAATAAGACAAAGAAAGAGAAGTTCAAAGAGGATCAGGGTTGCCAGATCAAAAACTTAAAATTCAGAAAGTTTTGTTTCAAAAAAGAACACAATCAGAATTTTTTTGAACAAAATCAGAAATAATTTAGAAAAAGCTTATTTTTGCAAATAATTGGCCAGGATATTAATATGCTCGTAGCACATGTTTTACGGACTTTTTCTTTTAATTAACCTTACTTTATGACCATAGATATTCTATTGTAAAGAATGACAATCTAATAAGTATGTTGTTTCATTAATGCGAAACACAAAAGACATTTAGTGTCGAGTTCATCCACTAGACTCGAATTTCATTCGTAAAAAATATACAAAAACAAATTAAATATATATTGTATAGGTTAAGAGATTCTGTGAAAGAGAAATACATTATTTAATATCTATTTGACAATATTGTTCATATTTTCTCTTTTTCGATCGATTTCGCTTTGACCAATGTGTTTGAGTTGAAGTCTGTTTATAAAGTTGTTCAGAAAAATAATTACTATTCATTCTTATTTAAGTTGAGCATCATTATACTAATGAGTTATAATCGTATTTCACGTCTGTAAGAAAACTGCGATCTAAAACAGTTCACAATTGGAAAGAAAAACAGGAAAATTCAGAAGTACCGAAATCGAAAAACAATTAGAACATCAGAAAGTATTCAGAAAAATTTTCTAAATTCAGAAACTTTCCTTTTTGTACCAGAAGATCGAGCAATCCTGAAGAGAGTGTACAAGGGAAATGGAGAGAATAAAGAAAAGAATGATAACAATAGATAGAAAATTTGCATTCCACTATCGAATTTTGCAACTACACAAACGCAATGCATTTTATCTTATTGTTCAGGATCTAAATAGGTTCTCCTGTTCGCTGATGTTAATCTTGCAATATCCAACTGACGCTCTATTCCAGTATTAGTCATTGGAATAGTAAGTTATTTGTTTGTTAACTGAATTTTAATGGCAAACATATCAATTTGTAGCAGTATCTTATTCTCAAAGTTGACTTCTAGAAAAATTAGTATTATACTTCATCTAGGCCACCAACTTTGGCCTGGTCGCCTGGTCTGCTGCCTACCAGGTATTAAGCCAGGCTAGCAGCTCTGATTCAGAATATCATATTGGTTTTTTTGATCTTACCTTTCAGGCTAATTTCTTCGAAATATGGGGCAAAAAATCGTTAAATCATTCCTGAAGACTTGTATTCCTTGAATCTCGTCAAGTGATCAGTATGCTTTCATAGATATTTTTATACCGTTTTGTAACTCAAACAGTTCTGAATCAGACACACTAAACCTTTTTTTTTGTAAAGTCTATCACAGATTTGAAATAGTTTATGAAAGACTGGAAGAGTATCATAAAAACCACTTTTTTCAGTCATTTCATTGAGTGACATAATCCTTGGTCAATTATATCAAATTTCAATTTTTTTTTCATTCGAAACTAGAAAAAAATTCTCTATCAGATGTACTAGTTGTAGAGATTTTATAAGTGGTTATTAACCAAAAATATCTAGGTGATCTGAATCATCTCAGATAAATTTTCATTTGAGAAAAGATGACGAACAGAGGAGACCGTGTTATGCATATTGCATCGCAATCATACAGTCGTTCATCAAGATATTCTCAGGTCCTATAGAAGATACTTCAGGCTATCTAATGGTATGTTTTTTAGTTTTTCAAGAACTGATAAAAAATGAATTAAGAGATGGAGAAATCAGGTATCGTCATTTCCGCTGGAATGATCCGAGTTACCCCAAGTGGGGTAATTCGGATCAGTTTCACACCACTTTTATCATTTTCATTGATACTTTTTTCCAATACATTATTTTTCGGAGATTCTTTCGTCAGTAAATGGAGAAAACTTCGAACTCCTATCGGCGCCAGAATATAAGGCACCTACTCGTTTTTTGAATAAATTTTCATAGGAACAAGATAGAGACCTGCGATTTTCAGCATTTGATAGCCAAGACCCAAGAGCATATTTTTGTAAGCAAAAACTTTTCTGACAAAAGTTCGAAGTTTGGTTTTTCAGAGTATCTTTGAAAAACCACGCTGGCATTTTAAAAATTGTCATAGAAATCTATTGATTTTTTTACATATTCGGAATCAGCATCAAAAACTGCGTCGACTCATATTTTTCTAGTCTTTTAACAAAATTTTTTTTCGCCGAAAAATTCGTTCTTCGTCATCTTTCCACTGAATTCATTTATTGATGTGGTCCTGAGGATGATTAGAGGCAAATTTTCGACGAAAAAAAAAATTTCGTTAAAAGACTAGAAAAGTACATGAGTCGACGCAGTTTTTGATGCTGATTCCGAATATGTAAAAAAATCAATAGACTTCTATGACAATTTTCAAAACGCCAGCGTCATTTTTCAAAGATCTTCTGAAAAAACCAAACTTCGGACATTTTCTCAGAAAAGTTTTTGCTTACAAAAATATGCTCTTGGGTCTTGTCTATCAAATGTTGAAAATCGCAGGTCTCTATCTTGTTCCTATGAAAAGTTATTCAAAAAACAAGCAGGTGCCTTATATTCTGGCGCCGATATTAGTTATGATACAAAAATCATCGCTTGATGATGTAAAATGTCCGAGAACGGGCGAAAACAAAATGAAATTTTGAGTTTTTGATCGGAATAACCTCAGAGAACTCTACTTGATTTATTTGTCGAACAGTTTAGTTTTGTCAGATATTAATTTTCTTGATGACATCACAATTTTCAGGTTAATTTTTGAGCAATTGGTTTTTCAGTTTCTTTGAGGATTGTAAACAAAGTTATTCATACGATTAGATAGGCTATATTTCGAAGTATATTTCTCTATATTTAAATCTTGAAAAAGTGCGATTTTCATTTTAAGCCGAATGTTTGCCTAGATGGATATCGTGGTATGGGTGTGCCTATGTAGCTGTTTGATTTTCGATGTAGATGTGGATGAGTATTAGGTCCCTGTTCCATCCACAACCATATCCATGCCTTCATTTAGTACTTGTTAATAAATATTGTGAAATTAAAAAAAAATTTGTTATTACTTTAATGGTTTGTCTTTCTTTACCTTGTCTTGTTCATCAAAACAAAATTTCATGTTTCATCTAGTCAAAATTGAAATTTTAATTTTGATCACAACACATATTCATTTCTATTTTTGATAAATTCATTGAATGAACTGTTATTTAATAAAACAAAAAAAAGTAGGAGTATATTTTTTTCATACTGAATGCCAATGTCTGACTCGGGTTGGGTCACAAAAATGTGACCCATGTCCAACACTGCTGGACGTCCAGACCAGATTGATGAAAGAGGACCTAGAGAAGAGAGATCAAAACATACGTTTTTTATCTCAACATCCTTTATGGATGATCCCTTATTTGTTTGTTTTCAATAGTTAATATCAATAAAATATTCATGCATTATTCATAAGAAATTGATTATGATTGAGAAAAAGAATATAGAACAATAATTGCATTATGAATTTCTTCAAAATTGATACAAGATATTTTTTTAATATTTTTATAATGGTTTTCAATTTGAAAAAAATTTCTTCTATTCTAAGTGACAATATATAAAATATCTATCTACTTGTTCTACAAAAAAACCTATCTTTTGATTTTCAATTGTTAATTCTAAATATTATTGCTGTCATTAAGTTGATTGTAGCGAAAGTAATACAAACTTATTTTAATATGATATATAGTGACAAAAAAGACTATAATACATCATAAATAACTTCACTATTTTTCTTTTTCTACTTAGAACTTCTCTCGATTTCATGATAATTGTTCTTATGAATCCAGTCGACTGTTCATAGAGAACCATCTGTTTTTTTTTTGAGTAGGCGTCTTACTTGTTTCTATTTTCATCCTATATTGTTCGCCTAACGAGATTTTTTTTCTATTCTCGGAAAAAAATATCCACCCACGTAGTTAACATAGAATGAATGAATGAGCGAACTGACTAGCTTTATGCTGAGCGTTTGTCGATAGGAATAAATAAATGACGTTTCAATGACGTAGTTCCCGTTTTTCTTCTATTTAGCTTTTATGTTTTCTCTTGCATTCTCTTTTTTCTTTCCTTTTTTCTATATATTCAATTTTCATCCCGAACGCCCACTATTGCTTTTATCCTTCTTCTATCAACAGTTAGAGATAGAGAACAGAGAAAGTAAGACCTCATTATTCTTGAACGCATAAGCTCGATAACACACATATAGAGTCCCACACATACATCAAAAAGCAGTAATTGTGAGTACATCATCCGAAACGTTTCTTGTTCAAGAAGAAGTTATTTTTATTATTTATTTCATAGATATTCAATCATGCAATTTATTTCCTTTTGCCTTTTTACTATTATTTGTGGCTATTCATTGGTCATTTCAGCTCCTGTCAATCAAAGTAAAAATCTTTTTTTCTTAGATATTTAATAATATAAAAAAAAATAAATGATTATGTCATATTTAGATACCCCTGATTCTCAAGAAACCAAACAACAAAAAGCAACTGCTATTGCTGGTCGTCTTTTAAAAGAACTTGCTAATGAACAACTTGCATCAAATCATAAAGAAGAATCTTTAATAAAAGATGAAAATAAGCAACCTAAAACAGAAAAAGTTGAAGCACATTTATCAAAAGAAAGTGATAATATTGATGATGACGACACTGACTTTATTCCAATAGTTGATGATTTATATGAAATATATGGTAATAAATATAATCAAGAACCTGATGATGAAGAATCGTCTTCAGAATTTATCGATAATGAATACTTGTTGCCGATCAATAGACAACAATTAATGAGATATTTTGCTGAAGAAGAAGATAGTATGTCATTGAAATCCTATATAAAACTATTTTTGTTTTTTAAATCTAAATTTTTATTAGGTGATGAAAATTTAACACCAGTGATACATTCACCAGTAATGGATGATACTCTAATGACAGCTGAAAGCCATTGACAACAACGCCATTTAGTTTATTAAAAAACAAAAGATATCATCTATTCTCCATAATTGAATATGTAATGATAAAAAAAAGAAAATGTGAAAACATTAATAACTGTTTCACAACAACAAAGAAAAAAATAATGAATTATATTAAAAAGAATAATTATATATTTATTTTTCTTTTATTTCAGTGTATATAACTATTCATGTTGTACATGTATGTGAATGTATCACAAAAAAAAAAGACAGAGTATTTACAGAAAACATGCTCCCCAAATAAATCTAATTTAGTGTTTTTTGTTTATGTTATATTGATTCTCCATCACGGCTACTTCGATAAACACGAAGAATATCATCAACTGGAGCTCGACATATTGGACATTTGACGACGGTAGTAGATCTTGTTTGTCGAAGATTTAATCCACACATATAACATACACAGAGATGACCACAACGATAAAGTACTGTATCAGCAATAGCAGTCAAACATATTGTACAATGACCAGCATTCATTGGTTGACTTGCTGTAGTTATCATAGTTGAGGAATTATTAGCAATAGCACTTGCTACTTCTTGACGTAATGATCTTTGCATATCCATTTGCATAGAAAACATCAGCTGTAACATTTGTTGCATGGTATCAAGTCGTGATGATAATTCATCAACAGTTAAAGTAGACTATAGAATATAAATATTACTTGTATGAAGAGAGAAAAATTGTTCATTAGATAAAATACTTACGGCATGCGTATTAGGTGTTGTTCGTATTGGAGTAGGAACAGGCGGAGCACGTGGTGTTGCAATTATTGGTCTTGGTTGTTGTTCTTCTTGAGGTGGTGCTCCTCGTTGCAAATGATTCTATTTAATGAACATGTGTATTTTATATTAAGTTATCGTTAAGACAAATCAACTTACATAAATATTCTGTTCAAGATGTCGACGAAAATCACTTTCTAAAGCACTTGTTACTAATTGTCGATGAACAAGATCACTAATTTCTAAAACAATGATTTCACGTTGTAATTGAGTTATTATTTGCCATGCATGTAGTTCACGTTCTGGTCTATAGAAATAATTAACTTACTAGATAGATACATAATTAAAATAGAATACCTTTCGATATTGAATGGCTCATGCCTAGGAATTAGATTAATTTGAGAACTTTGTTGTTGGCCTCTAATAACTGGTTCAATCTGTACTGGTGACGTTGGTGAACCTTGTGTAATTTGTGAATGTTGTTGTTGTTGTTGTTCAATAATAGTTGATGATAACGTTTGTGGCATAGGTGGTGCTTGCGGAATTTGTTGTGCTGGTGATATTGTTTGTGTGACAATGGAACGTCGAATAGCATTTTCAAGATCTTGTCGAAATGCTGTACTACTTAATGCAGCTGATACACATCGACGATTAGCTAATGCATCAATATCAGCCAGATGAGCACTAGGTATAACAGGTCGAGTTGATGGTGTTCTTACGTTTTGTTGGTGTTCATGAATATTATTTAGAAAGGTTTCAATTCGTTCACGATTTGGTTGACCAGTTACAGGTCGTTCACCCAAACGTAAATGACGTAATTCAAACATAACTTCAATACGTTGTCGTTCAATAAAACGTGTAAATGCATCAGCTTCAATTTCAAGTACTGAACGAGTTATATCTACTTCACTTCTCGAACTCGAACTACATTCAGATTCATAACCATTTTCATGAACAATTGTTGTCATTTGTTCATCTAAATAATTCAATATAAAATAATTCTCAACAAAAAATGTATTTTCTTTTAAATTAATTACCTTTGCTAATAAATGTTACTTCAACTCCTTCTTCATCAGAAGCTACATTCGAATCTGTTACATGTATAGATTCGTTTGCCATTTATTATTAGTTTTGTAAATAGAGACTATTTCGTTTGATGTAAAATGCATACAATGTATATATATATGGAGAAAGACGAGCGTCTATGACCTGGTTAAACATTGCATAACAAACTCTTGATACGCAAAATATGTGATTCACTCGTTAGATAGTCTTACGTTATACTTTATTTTGACTATGAGTATAAAAGATGCGCCAATAGGTAGGCATGAGTCACATATTAACCTTTATACAAAAAGATGAATAAATCGAGCGCTTTTAACTGTCATATTTCAAACGTTTATACTTATCGTAAGAGTTAAAATTATAGATAATTATAAATAGATGATTCATTATTTATTTTTTATAAAAAAAAAACAACTCAAAACAATCTTCTGATAACTTTATCATATTTTTTAATGTTCACAATAACATAAATTTTTTGTTTTTCAATCTTGTAATGAACTAAAAAGAAACATACTAGGCGCGTATTTACGTGGATTATCATTAGATATTTTTCCCAAAAAAATAAAATAAAATAAAATAAATATGATTAAAACAAACGAATTTATTATTCATTTTATTGTTCATGAACGATTTTTTTCTTTTCTATTTTTCTTGTTATAATAAAACAACATTTAAAACGAAATATAATTAAATATTCAAAATATTCTTGAATTATGAATAATTTATATTTATCACCATCACTTCATCATATACATCATCGAAAACAACCTTATTTATATAAACAAAAAGCATTAAATCAAAATCGATCTTTATCACCAATACATATACATCAACAAATTTCAACCAAAAGTACATATTCATCATCGTATACATCATTAAATTCTTATTTAAAAGAATTTAATTTAACAAATAAAGATTTCTTTGAATTACGACAAGCACTTAAAACAATATTTTATTATATACAACCTAAAATTATATGTAATCATAAACAATTACTTAAACAACGTTTAACAAGTCCATATTTACAACAACAATTAAATACAGATGATCAATCATCATTACCACTTTATACAAATGAATATTTTATTCGTAATGGTTTATTAAATCATAATGATGGTCCAGAAATTCATGATAATCATTGTCAATCAATAAATTTATGTTATTCAAATCATTCGAAACCAATTATTCATTTACAAACTTATCCATCTTCATGTTATTCATCATCATTATCATCAAATTCAATGATGTTAACATCTCCTGTGAATATTTCATTACCATTAGAATTACTTTCTAATCAAAAATATTTATTTACAGCATTAACAAGTAATTTTACATTAGAGAAAGATAATAATAATAATGAAACAAAATCAATGATAATACGACGAAATAAAGTACAAGCATGGGAAAGAGAAAATAGTTTACAACAAAAAACATCATTAACATATTCTTCAATACAAGAGAATAATCAATTTGAAACATCTGAATCTCATCGCAATTCAATTATTCAAGTGAATGATCTGAATAACATCGAAAGTAAAACTGTTGAAGGTAAAAAATGTTCTACTGTTTGAAATTATAAAAAGTTAGGCATTGGAGCAAAATATTCAAAACATATGAAGAAAGATAACACTACCGATCTATAGAAGTGATCGAATCGAAGGACTCAGCTTCCCTCCTGGACGAAGCTTTCGAAAAATGTATTTTTTCTGATACAAATTTGTGTTACTGTTTGCATTGAAATTTATATTTTACTATTTTGTGTCAGTAAAAAAAAACTACATCTTTCAAAAATCTCGCCAGGAGGAGTTGAGCCTTCCTAGGCCAAAATTCTGATTCCGCCACTGGTCGATAGGCATAGTCAGATATACTTTTAATCAATGTTATTATTCGATTACGTAACTGGTCATCAGGATGAACAAAACCTTTATCCATATAAAACTGAACAAACAAACCAACATATATTGTCTGTATAAGTTTATTCTAACACATCATCAATAGTTGAAATTGATAGAAATCTATGATGTAGACCATATAGGTATGGTTGTGAATCCTCTCTCAATTTGTATCCACCCGCTTTTTGATAAAAAAATATTTTTTCCTCCAAAAATATGATTATTATATTTCTAAAGTTAAATTAAAAGTCTTTATTAATCACTCTATAACATTATGGTTTCTTTTACTACTTTCATACATCATCTTTCGATATTTTTATTTTTCGATCAAATTCAGATTTACCTATTCAAACAGCATCGATAGTTGAAGATGATAAGACAATGAAAACTATGGAAGAATCTATTATTAAGAAGGATATTTCGTTAAGAATATGTAATAAAGAAAAAGAAAAATTATTGGAAGACAAGAATATTGATGATTTATTTCCTATGGTGAAAATACTTGGTAGGAAATGAATTTTTTTTTGTTTGAGCAGATTAATTCAAATCTTATTATTTAGCTCCATATATTATTATTCGTGATTCTTTCCATCGAAATTCAAATAATAATCGTTTAAATGATATATCGTCAATAAATATTGATAATCAAACTACTAAAAACTCTATACAAAATGTTAATCGATTAATAAAAGTATCAGAAAAACGATCTTTAACTGATGTATTAGATTCAACATTGATAACAGTCAAACGTCAGTCACTGTTGTTGTGAACTTTATCAATTATTAACTAGACTCAATAAATTAATAATAATGAATAAGTATAACAAAGGAAAAAGAATTATTTGACTGCTATAGTTGAAACACAAATATCTTTAAAAAAAACCTGCTAAAATAACTTTATGAGAGATTGATATGTATACAGAAAGTCTAATAATATAGATTTTAATGAATTCTTTTCTTGATTAAAATATTTCACGATCTAATAGCAGAAGAAATTAAAATAAATATCTGTTTTAGAAATTCATTTCTGATCTTTTATGATAATCGTTCGAAGCTATTGAATAGATGTAATTCAATAATTGTTTCTTCAAATTCTTGGTTTTCTATTTCATTCTCTTCTCTCAATGGTAATTTTAATTTAATTTGAGCAGATGTTGTTCCATAATTTCCAGCCCAAAATCATTGACATTTACCTTTCAAATTAATCAACACATTAGAGGGCATTTCATTGTGTAGTTAATTAATATAACGATAAGTTATACGATACCATTGACAATCTCTATTTGTAAACCAACGTAGATATCGCCATAATTCTAAATTGCAAATAGATGAACAATTTCCACGTCCTGCGACACAAATTGTAAAGTCAATTATTGGATTGACAGAAATCAGCTGGAATGAAGATTATAATATACTTCATTATTATATATATATCTAAAGGATACAGATTAAGCTGACAACTATGTGGTAAAGTAGGTCGTGTACTTCATCGTCGAATACCTTTCGATCATCTATGTTTGAGTTTCGTTTCGACGATCACTCCTTATATTCACTCTTTCTAAATAGTTATCATATATATCAGCATATAGCCAATAGCTTCGATCATCATAATGAAGATCGTCGAAAACAGGTATTGTCGATAGCCACGTCGCCTAAATACAAATTATCGATTTTCGAGAATATGACTCTCAGTGAAGAGTATATTGGCCATGCAACTTTATCAAATCTATTATATAGAAATAAACCGACGATTGTCTTTTTTGTGAAATACAATCTAAAAGAACTGTTGAAGTATAGGTATAAAAATTTAGACCTCCTCGCCCCCAAACATACACATATCGTGACAGGCGTTGACATATAATCATAGGCTGCATATCAATAATATCTCGTTATAATATACATGAACTACATCCTTATCACATATTCTCGAAGATTAAGTAAAAAGAAAATGAAGAAATGTGTCCCCAAATAGATAAAATAAAACAATCTCTCTAAGATTGGTCAGAGTAGCTATATCATGTTTCATATTTTAATCCTTAAGAGATTGAGCTAACAGCTTTTTTTTTTATACAATTCCATTTTTCTTCTTTTCTAAGTAATTGAATATTACCATGTTGATATTGTTCCCGAGTATATGATGTCATATAACAAGATGAAACTAGACCAAATGCATCGTAAAACAGATTACAACCAACAGAAATTTGTTTCCATTGAATATTTCTACTCCAAAATTGATTTTGTTCATCTTGATTATTATTGTTATTATTGAAATCCAAAAGATTATAATCAGGATAGAATGGGTTTGAAAAGTAGAGTTGTCGAAAATCAATGCCAGCATGAATCGCTAGTGGTTCATTAACAATTTATACATGATTACAATGACATTTTTGCAACCAAAATGTTGGTGAACGGAGAAGATTACAAAAAATGACGGCAAATCATTTCCAAAGAAATAAAACTCTTATGAGCACAACGATAGATATGATTCATGAAGAGTGTAAGAAAAATAACATGACGAAGGAGAAATATTCACATGATTGAAAGATTCATTTGGTGAAGAATAGATAATTGATAGAAATATAAATTCAATTAATTCATCAGAAAGACAATCAAACGGATTTAAAGATTTAGCAGCCATACGGAATGTATCAAAATTAGTCATATTTTTCAAGCATAAATAAAATGATACAAAAGAACAGCTTTATCAGATAATTCATAGCAACTTATGTCAGTAAGGCAAACGACAAAAATTTTAAATTATTTACATTACACTAAGGAGACATACACCTATTATAATCAAATATGATTTTTATTTCGTTATATAAATTTTGTTACTCAACTAAAATAAATAAGACTCGATTCGAGAGGATCTGATTGACTAGTCACTGGAACGTGATATTGGTTAAAACTGCAGTCAATGTTATGCCTACTAAAACTTAGCTTTTGTAAATGTTAAAATCTTTTTCTTATGTTATTTAAATCCGATTAAATCTTTATTTACTGACTAGTTTCTTTTTACTTTAAAACGAAACAAAGTATTGGTTGATATAGAATTAAAACTCTTGAAACAAAATAAGATATTGAAAGTCACGAATTGGACTATAAGTTGACACATTGATCGACATCGGCTAAAACTTTTCAATGAATTTTACAAAAATTTTGTTAATTTCGAGAAATCTTGAAATGAAAAAGAGACAAAACGATGGTAGACAACTTATTGACAAGAAATCAGACGATAACATCTTCAAAAGCTAATTTAGGACGTTAGAAATTTTTAAAAATTAAATATCTATATAATTATATATCACGGTGACGGTAACTAAAATCTTCAGCAACTATTTTGGGCAACGGCGGTGACGCGGCTGAATCGCTTGAGTGTTGACAATGAGTATTATGTAAATATCTTATTCATTATTCGTATAGTCAAATGAGAAAACTAATCATAACATATATTCACAAAAATGAGAGAGTTAAGCTTAAAAAATGAGTTCTACTCAGACAGTATTAGATCTTAAATGCATCATGTGAATCAAAAGTGGTGTGCCGACAAGGGGAAAAAGTTGATTGCTATCAAAAATTCAGCTTTTTCCTGTTCTACACCGATCAATTTCTGATATTTAATCCAATCATCAGTTTATCATTGAATTCAACGGATTTGAAACTGCTTGATTGCGGCTGATGAGAACGAACTATTTAGTAAATGCTATCGGTAGCTGTGACCATATCTCAGCAAAGACAATGTTAATAAACGAATTTAAATGTACTCTAAAGGAATTTGAACACGAAAAAAGTTTTATATTGTGTACTTAATTTGAACGTATGATTGTGGTTGATTTGAAAAAATGTAGAAGATTATATTCGTGAAGTAAAATACGCCGACTTGTAGAGAATCTCAAGAGCAATCTTTTGAGAGAAAAAAAGTTCTCTGAATTAAGTGAGAAAGAAAAATATAATCAATCGAATTTATTGTATGCCATTTTTTATAATGAATAAATCTGAATCATTAATCAATTTAAATATCAAAATATCGATATAATTCAAAATAATTTGAGACAATCAAACTCCTAGGTCGTATACATGATAATGAGAATATATAATTTAAGCATCGACAATAGGAAAATAATCAGAATTGAAATGAAGAAGATATCCTTACAGATTCTTCAACTAGGTAAACAATCTGTTTTCATCCATATGGACATTTGAGTAACACGATTATTGCATCTGTTCTCTATGAGCAATGAACAGAACTCTTATTAAGGACATGAGTATAGGTGTGTAGGATGTGGATATGAGTTTTCTCTTCGGTAAAATTTACACTCATGCCTTAGTTCTATTTTTCTGTTATTGTTGTTGTTTATTGTTATTTGCATAGGATTTCTATTATTTTTATAATTAATTAGATATTTATGATTATATTAGTGATTTCTACATCTTAATTAAATAAATGTGTAACTTGTACTTGTAATCAATAAGAGTTTAGTTCGTTGTTCATGGGAGATGAGCATTGTTGAGAAGTAAATGTTGCTGGGAGCAGCTGTCTGGGATACAACAGTCATGAACTCAGACATTTGAATAATAAATATTCTTTACGTAATAATACTAAAATATATCTTGTAATTAATCAAATATTATTTTCACAGCCTGAGTAAATAGTTTCTATTAAAAAATATAAAAAGACAAGTTTCTTCGATGAGATACTAAATTATGAAGATATTGTTGATAGTTCTTTCAACATTGCTTCTGTTAATTTGAATTTTTGTACTTTGCCTGTTGATGTTATAAATGGAGCAAATGATTCAATCACTTTCACATATTTTGGCACTTTGAAAAAGGCAATTTTAGTTTTTAAGAATTGTCTCACTTCTTCAACATTATCAATTTTTGTTCCTGCTTTTACTTTTATCCATGCACAAACAACTTCACCATATCGTTGATCAGGTACACTAAATACTTGTGCTTCAGCAATATTTGGATGTTCCAAAAGATAATTTTCTATTTCAACTGGATACACATTTATACCACCAACAATAATCATTTCTTTTCTACGTGATCGAAAATAAATATAACCATCTTCATCCATGATACCTAGATCACCAGTTTTCAACCAGCCAGAAGATGTTATTGTTTCACGTGTTTTTTCTTCATCACCATAATAACCTAAATATATAAATCAATTTATAGAATATTTTCTTTTAGAAAAGACTAACCTTTCATAATATTATAACTTCTTGCACAAATTTCACCTTCTTCACCAATAGGTAGAATACGACCATTTGTATCTGCTATTTTCGTTTCTACATGAGGTATTGCTTTACCAACTGAGGTAAATCGACGTTGCTTATCATCTCCGGCATATATACTCAGGACTAAACCACCCGTATTTTCTGTTTGACCATATACTTGACTCATAGTTTTGATTGGAAATTCACGTTCTATTTGTTCCATTAGTGATACATTAACAGGAGTTGCACCAATCATACCATATAAAAGAGAACTCATATCATATTCTTTTCTTTTAGGATGTTGAAGAATATCTCGAAAAATAATTGGTGGCCCTATGATTGCAGTGCATTTTTCTTCTTGAATAGTACGCATTGATTCCATTGTATCAGGTAAAATTGCAGGAAATGCTGTAAAATAACCCGGCCCATTTATATTCAAAGTACCCCCTATTTCACCGAATATATGAAATGCTGGAACTGGACAACAGGTACGACTCATCAATGTTCGATGAGTATAATACATAGGAGCACTACTATTTAGTCTAAAAGAAAAAGCAGCATATCAATTCTTTTTTTTTGTGTGCTTTACAACAAAAGAAGACATCTTTGTCTAAATACTTACAAATTGAAGTTGGTTAATGTTGCTGCTTTTGGTTGTCCAGTAGTACCTGATGTATAGAAAATAGCAAGTGGAGTATCACCATCTAATTGTAATTGACGTTCACACAGTTTTTCTTGTCGACTTCCTGCACCTTTACGAATAAGATCACTATATAAATGGATTCTTCCTGAAATACGATTTGTGCTTTCATTGTCTTTTCCATAGTCACCAGCTGTTAATATCACATGTTTTAATGTTGGTACTAATTTTGCATTTAATTCACCTTTGGTTTCAACAAGTTCAGGTACTACTTTATTTAAGATTTTCATAGAATCAATTGTTTTTATATTTGGTCTCATTATTAAACCTTTACAACCAACTTTATTAATACAATAGGTTAATTCACGTTCCATATAAGCTGGATTGATATTTACCTATAATAGAAATATTGAGATATACATAGATTGTTGAAAAAATAAAATACTTTAATTAAGCCAACTTTCGATGCAGCATAAGTCATTGCACAATTTTCTGACGTATTCGGTAACCAAACACCAATTCGATCACCTTTTTCAAAGCCAAGTTCAATGAGACTTGTTGCTAAACTATTGACTTCATCAAGAAATGATTTATATGTATATCTTTTATTTCCTTCACCTTTAAATAAATAACATTCATGATTAGGATCTTTACCAGCAAGTTGATCTAAATGTTGACCAACTGTATGATATAAAAGTGGAGTATCTGATGCATGATGATAATAACTTTGAATACATTTCGATGAAGGGGAGGAAGTTTTTGTGTCAGATGATGAAAAACGTGAAGAAAGAGTAAATATAAATGGATACAATGATCGATTAAATATCCACGTTCGAGATGATCTTGCTAGCATTTTAATAACCTAAAAAATGAAGGACATATGTAATTATTAGATAACTGCAGATGAAACGTATAATTGTATTTCATGAAAATTTCATTTTGGAGAATTTTCCATAGCAGAGAACGTCACAAGACTGTTTTTACCGTTCTGCAAGACAATGGACTCTTCGACGGCCGGTCTGTAGGAGGATATTTTCGTTACGTTTTTGGCAAAGATAAATACTTGTCTACATATGAGGGACGATGCCAAGCATCATAGACTTACTATTTATAGAAAAATCATTTACAATATAATCATGTTAATAAACTTTATCACACATTTTTCAGCAAAAATGAAATGAACAATTTAAAAGTGCTCGATATCCATAAGATAAATAAAACAAACATAAAGATATAGTATTCAAAATGTAATCAATATAAACAGATGGACAACGAAAAAGGATAAGTTTTCTTTGTATTGCTATGTCTTGAATACCTCATTTGAACAAATAAATAATTATTATCAATGTGACTTGATAATAAATACGTTCAATTTTTGAGAAAAAGTCAATGGAACTGAGATAAATAATCTTTGCACCAAAGCACTAGTCGCCGGTATAGCATGTACTCGTCTAACTACTACTGATAATGATGAAAGATGACGAGGATTTTCACTACTAGACCAGAACTTTATGGAGTCACGATCAATTTTGGTGACTTGAGTATTGGACAGCACTTGAACAGTATCTCCCAGTGACTGCATCTTACACTGCAGAACATTGTAGATTCTGACAGACACACGTCCTGTGCCGTTCTCTGTTTCATACTAATACCATATTTATGAGCATATTGTGAGAATGAAAAAAACAGGCTCTATTAATGAGTTTTTGCTTGCTTTCTCAGAAGTGTCCTAGAAAATTGTATAACTTTTGGAAGAATAGAAGATATTTGTATTAGCTATTTGTAACCTTTATGAGATAACATTACAGTCGACTTTTTTGTTTGCTGTCCTATATTTCATAATAATCTTTTCAAGATCTAGAAAGAAATAACTGAAGATTTTTTTGTCTGAAATGATTTGATACTAGAAAAAAAACCGAATATCTTTACCATAAAGTGTATTTTGTGATCGAAAAGAGGATATTTTGTACGAGTGCAACGTATTATAAGACTGAACTGTCAAAGAATGAAAATAGAATCGTTTATAGGAATGTTTGCTTTTTCATATCCAAGTCAATGATTCCGATTCCAGGATCCGTGGGTTTCCACAGAGAATCCGTTAGAAAACTCAAGAAAATGGTAAGAGCTTAGAAACATGGATGCCGTGATTGGAATCGATTGCTGGGTTTTTCGAGTTTAGAAGTGAAACGACTATAATCGGACAAAGTCGATCGCCGAATTCCTGCTTCCAAATTCTCACACTCTCCTGAGTTTTTTGTCAGAAAACGGCTCATATTTCTTGGTCTAAGTAGGACAAGAATGTCAAATTTTGAATATTCTTTTTAATAATATAGTGATTAATCTCATAATTGCTCAAAATCGAGTTAGAAATAAATTGTCCGATGATAACAAATATTTCTATATTAAATTTACACAGCAGAAAATAAAAGAAATTGCCGTACTTTGAAGAAATCGATTGTACAGAACGCAATGGACTGCAACAAATGTAAATGTGCTTGATAAATATAGACTGCACGAGGCAATTAAATACAAGTCATCAGATAGACGCTGCTTTCGTTATATTGCAAAAGATTTATCTATGAGGCGGAGAGAATAATGGCTAAGAAACGAAAAAAAAGGTCTCGACCACGTGCAATTAATTTACCTTAGTGTCTTTCAATATTTGTTTATGATAGCTGAAGATCGGTTTTTATGTTTTCATTCTCTTCTATTTTGCATTCTCTATATTTACTCTACCTAGAATAAGCAACCAACGACAGCCTAGTCATAAGAATAACCTATATCAACCCATTACATACTGGAGACGCTTTTTATGCATGTAATCGAATGAAAAGCGTCAAAAAAAAAGGTAAAATAACTCAAATAAACAACATTCTCTATTTTTTTCTTTGTTTTTATTTAAATAAGCACTAAGAAAGAATACAATTGGTTTTTGTTTCTTTTCTTAAGAATATAAAGATAATGTGAGCAGATAAGTAGAATGAATTTGAATTCAAATATAGATTCATTAGCTGCAAGAAGATAAAAAGTAGTAGATTATGAATCATTATTTCGATAAAAAAATAGAATAAGCAATGATTATATCAAACGATCTTAGTATTAAGAATTTTTTCCTCGTTTTTTTTTATATTCATTGTTCAACCAGAATAAATAAGTCCCTACGGAAATTAACAATAAGAGCTTCACAAAGAAAATTATTAAATATTGAAGATAATCCATCATTTTTGATTCGCTGTTATCTTGAAGATGCTTAAAACTAATGAGTAACAATCTATCATAGTCAATTTAAAATAGGAAGGTCATCAACAAGTTTTGAGACTGATTTTATTGAAAATCAAGAAGTAGCATTGGTGCATTAGTATTATTGTCTGTATGTAGTTCATACAGTTCTCGTTCTATAGACGGCATGAACTGTGATCGATTAAGCATTCATATCCAGATATAGCAATACATTTTAAATTATCCCTATACATTGATAGAAAACCGAAAACTCGAACAAAATTTTGTATTTTGAGTGGTGAATTTCCATCCAACGCTTATGAAAGTAGAGTCGTAGCTTGTAGTGATAATATTATATCATTCACTATGATTTTTGAACAGGCTCGTCGTTATAATGATGGATAAATCAGCATTTATATATGAACAATGTATAGGTTTACATTTGCTATTGAATGTGACATTCATATTCGAACAGATTTCAGTCATTTATAATTGATCATGTAAAATGCAATGTACCATACATTTGAAATGCTAAAATTATTTGCTGTTTACTGAATTGCTATTTGAGACTTTCCGATGACTAAGCTTTTAATTGTTTTTTAATATTCGCGTCGTCCACTTCAAAGATCATTGTCAATACTTAATTGTACATCTTTAAAACTGTAATTTCATTCAGAAACTGTAGTGTGTAATGAAATATCGGTTACTATAACCTGCCATCATATATGCATAAATATTGGATGGAGATTAATCTTCCGGTGTTGAGAACTTTATCATTGAAGGATGGTCAAATTTTAAAATTTCCTATTAGTAAATATGAAGTGATCTAAAAAGTGTTTTTATATCTGGACATAAATGATTAATCGATCAGAGCTTATGACATCTGTAGGTCGAGAACTGTATGAACCACATGCAGACAACAAGGCTAATGCAGCAGTACTTCTTGTTGTTATTAAATAAAATTAGTCTCGGAAGTTTTTGAACAGCACCCATAATGAAAGCATTCGTATGATCATTATTTATGTTCTCGTTACTTCTCAAGATGGTTTGAGTCTGAATATGAGTCTATAGAATCTGTTTTGTTCAATATTCATGTTTAAACAGTAAATATCTAATTCACATTTATACTAAAATATCTTCTTTGACAAATTAAATATTACTGTTACAGTTTGTATCAAATTCTTTTTTTTTTGAAATGATAATAAATTATGAAGATGCTTTTAATAGGTCTTTTACCATTGCTTTTATATTTTATTCATTGGTATCTTGAATAAACAAAACAGTTCAACAACTTTCACATATTTAGATACTTAGAAAAATGTCTTTTTTTGCAATCAAGAATTGCGTCATTTCTTCAATATTATCAATGTTTGTTTGCGTTTTAACAATAAATGAATGTTTTAAAAGAATATTTCCTATTGTAATTTATTTTGCTATGTTTTTTTCAAACATCAATTCTTTTCGAAGCATAATATAGTATCAACTGACGTTCTTCTTTGGTATAAAGATAAAAAGAAAAAACTTCAATCGATATATTACAAAATATATTCATTTAAAAGAGAATACATCTTACATGAAAGAAAAGTATTTTCAGTGAAGCAGAAATGTATAAATTAGATTCCATTCTTGTGATGCTGACTGATTGAGATTTGTCCGACATTGTCTCAATAATTTTGAAACATTTTTCTCGACGATCTATTATAATTGGATTCAAAAAAAAAAAAGCATTGAAACTAAATGTTTTCTATTGTATCTTATAATCATGTTTCAAAGGCTTAACTTCATGAGAAGTATTTCTATTATAAAAGTAAACAGCTATACGTAAGTAGAAGCTTTCTTCCCTATAATTGATGCATATTACGGTTTTGATTAAAAAATAGAAAACCCAAGAATGCTAGAAAAATATGTTGAAACCCTACAAGTGATAAGTAAGGCAGTTTAATACTAACATCAACATCATTCATCATTCAAGTTCTAATACACTAGTAAAGTATAAGAGAAGAGAGCAACAAAACAAATAGTAAAGCAGTAGTGTAGTAATGATTGATGGATTTTGTTCGGAAAACAACATAATGGAAATATGCTTTTGCATTCATATTGTATCTAGTATAAAATCAACTTTTTTCTATTATGATAAATTGATCAATTGCTTTCTTACCAAAATCTAACGCATTATAGATTATCGAATAGGTTTCGTGAGAACAGCGATTGATCAGTTGAAAACATTCTTTTATTAGAGTTGTCAGTAACTTTTCCTTGGTACTTTGCTTTATATACAAAAAGATATATATTCAGAGCAAATAGCACTTTCAATGATCATGTAAATTTATTTGATTGAATTCAATACATCGTTTGCTTTATGAATTAACTGTCCTGTGTTATTATCTAATACAAGATCTAAATATTGGTAGATCGACATTTGAGCTCCCGATATTTGAGCCTCAATAGATTATTAATGTAATAAATGATTATATTTGACACTTGAATAAAAAACTGAATAGAAATAAAATCACTAGTTGTCTTCAGTCGTGACAGAACTACGGAAATGAAATAACGAGCCAGCTCACCCATCTATCGTTCTTACCCTAAACTTATCACATCAATCTCGACGCGTTTCATCACGACTTGAGATAATAATTTCTTTTTATTTGTCAATAAAATTTTAAATGTAATAATTCTCTTACGTAAATAATCGATTGAAATGTCATCTAAAATCTTATACTGTATTTTGTATTAAACATCGGAGAATTCATTTGAATGTATCATGTCCTCGAAAGAAAATAATAATCATAGAGTTAAAGAACAGAATTTTTCTAGCAAAAAAACCCCAAGGAATACAGATTTTGTATTAAGTTTATAGATGACGATAAACGTAGCCTATAAAGTAAATGCTTCATTGTATTGTAGTCTATATTATATAGGAAACTTCTTACAATGTTCCATTAGATAGTTTATAACACATCATTAAATCCTAAAGGATTTTAGTTAGGCTAATACCAACTGATTCTATTAACGACGAAAAATAGAAAAAAAATTCAATTATATCATCAAAAGTTTATTGAATATGAATAAATCAGTTAGAAAATCTATCTTTATACTTTCATTTCATATTTCATTTAAAAATATTAAAAACAAGATAAGACTACCGTCATTATTTATTTCTTATTATTTTTTTATCAATATAAGGTATAGAAAGAGGTATGTAAATATTTCTCTAGTTTGATATTAGTACCAATAATTAGGGCACATACATACATGAACACAAAACAAAAAGAAAAACAAAACAATCAAACAGACAAACTAGGTGAAAGATATTAAAAATTTGGAAGAAAACTATTGAATATATCAATAATATTATGTTTATGTCAGGAAATTCTAAAAAATAAAATCATAGAATTTAATAGAAAGAAACAAATTTGAAAACAATACCCAGCTTACATATCGCCAAAAATGCCAGCAAATGTTTTTTTTAAATTTGCAAGTGTATCTTCTGATTCATCTTTATTAGTAGAATCTCCACCCTTGTAAAAAAAAGAAAAGAAATATAGAAAATCATCAAAAACTAAAAAAACAAAAAATATTTATTTTTCTTACATCAGATACATTTGATGTTTGTTTACGAAGTGTATGTCCTATATTTCCCATCCATTGTGATGGTGTTGAACGTGATGTACTAATACTATTCGTAGTATTTGTTGTTGAAGGATTATAAAATGGATTTTGACTTATAGTTGATGATGATTGATTATCAATATTCGTTGTATTACGTGGAACATTTGGTAATTCTCGACGATTGCTATTACAAACTTGTGTTGTTGATGATGATATATTTTGTGAATTTGTTGTTGAAACTGATATAGGATCATTCGATGTTGATGGAACTTTTGTTATTTTTGGTAATTCATGAATAGGTTGTTCAATACTTGGTACTCGACTATAATTTCAAAAAGTAAATCAAAAATGAATATTAGTTATTTAACCCTTTAAGGACGGTTAATGCATATATGCGTTTCCTGTTCCGGAGTAGTTCAGATCTATTGATGCGTACCACTGATAATTGATCTAACTAGCATTGCTCTATGATTTAGTACAAGCGACATACATATGCACTGTATCGATTCTTGAAAGATCAATAGCGCTGATTAAAAATGAAATTAATTCATTTGAACTAATTCCATGTTTCCTTATTTTGTTTCGACAAAAAAATCCCGTCTGGAAAGGATTAATAAATTTTTCTTTTCTTACGTCATCATAGTTGGTTGTTTATCAGGTCGACAATAGATTTGCATTTTGTGCATTACAAGTTCTGCAATACATCGACGATCTTCATCTTGTGATTCGCCTAATAATTGCATACAACAATCATTAACCTAAATAATAAATCTGAATTAGAACAAAATTTAGCTGCTTGTTTTTTTTTTCCTAACCTGTACAATATATTCTTTTCCATCTTTTGATTGAACTATTTCAATAGCACATATATCAAGTCCACCAAATAATTGACTAACTTCATCAACCCATAAACGATACCTTTAGAAACAAACAAAAAACATGTTTTTCTCTTTAAGAAAACTAATTAAATTACTTCTACCTATCAGTCATTTCAATTTGTTCAAGCATGGCTGAACCTGTATTAGCTTTCCAATTACCAGTTAATGATTTTCGACTAGAAATATATGAATATTTAAAACATTATTTGATTAAAAACCTATCTCAAACATCACGACATCACACATGTAAAAAAAAAACAAGATTTTTCAGAAAAACTCATAATGGAAAGCAAACATTGAACAACATTATAAGTAGTCTATTTTTTTCTTATGTAAATACTAATTTAGTCTATTTATTTTATAAATTGAAACCAAAAATGGTTACTTAAGTGTTTTTTTCCAATTCAACTCACATAAAAGCTTTATAATATTGTCCAATTTTTTGTACATAAACATCACAGCGTCCATCAATATATGGTTCAACTGTTGCATAACAATTACTTATTGCAACAACACTTGTTAAATCTTGATAATCATATGGATTTTCAACTCTAATCTTAGAAAAACAGAAAAAAAAAGAACAAAATTTTTGTTTTGTTTTTCTTTTAATGAGAAAAAAGAATAATGTTTTTAGTATAAATTACTTTTCCTAAACCTTGATGAGCTTGTCCAACTTTAACAACCGATGGAAATTGAGGTGAAATAAGCTGAAATTTAAAAAAAAACAAATTTTAGATATTAATAAAAAAATTCATATATTAAATATAAATTAGTGAATATTTTTAAGATACTCATCTATAAATTACTACTTACCATTTCTCGATGATTTGGATAATAAGCTTGACTTATTAATGGAAATTGATCTGTACCTAAACGTCGTTGAATATTAAGTAATTCAGCAAACTATACAAATAATTATTCTAAATTAAATTTAAATCAAAATAAAAATCTTACAATCCATGGTTTATCTCGAAAATTATACAAGGCTTTCATTGAATTAACGCCAGGTAGAGCTCCATATTGCATACCAAGAATAATATTTGTCCAATCAATATTAATATCTCTGACATACTGTCGAACGAGTACAAAATCTGGTCGAAATGATCTTTTTTTTTTATTTAAACATAAAAGAAATCAGTTTTTTTTTAAAAAGACCTTTTAATATTCATGCATACCGAACGACATGTGTTCCATTTCGGTAAATATTTATATCAACTAAAGTGCCAGCATCAGAATAAGCTGCCAAATTAATGTCTTTAAATTCCGCCTAAAAGAAGAAGACAAAAGAATTAATATAATATTTTACTTATTCTTTTTATTTCTAACAAAGCATGGCAGTTCAATCTGTACTTTATTTTTCTCAGTCTAACAGGTAATGATACTTATCATCATTAAGTAAATTGCATTTATGAAAAGGAAAGACCTGACATACTCTCATAGAATATTATATCACGCAAATGGTATTTTTTTTTCCTATTAACGATACGACACATAGGTACATAAGCAACATTTATATATAAAAACCTGTTCCACACGAATATCATAATCAGCAAAAATTTTTTTGCCTTTGAAATATTTACTCCTATGATAATTTAAATCAGATAAAAAAAAATAAACAAATTAATTAAATGTTCATATTTACCAATCAGTATGCTGATCATCAATAACTAATAATAATTTGAGTTTATCTTTCGATATTGATTGTTGTTGATCTTTATTTTGGGTTAATTGAGACTGATGATGATGATGGTGATGATGAGGATGAGAGTAAGATATAGATGACGATGATGTTAATCCTGTTCCTGTTGGTTGATGTGGTATTTGTTGAATAGCTTGATTAACGACACCACGTGCAGCATTCATAAACTGATTTGCAAACGATAAACTTCGAGTAGGAGAACTTGGTGCACTGGTATACTTTGATGATTTTAATTCCCATGCTGATGGACGACTTATATTACTTTGTGATGTCATATTCATATGAGATTCCGTTGACGTTGGCAGCATTGTCATTGTACTGTCATCATTTTCATTTTGAAGATCTCCGGAGGAGAAACGTCGTTTCAAATAGTTCATCATTGTTACTATACGATTGGCATTATTTTAAAAAAAAAAGAATGAATTTATCTAAAACTATAAAAAGAAAAACAAGACTAGCCTTGAATGTTCTATTGCAATGTAGATGTTTCTGATCACACAAAGAGTTGATTATATTTTTTTTTGTATGGTTTTTTTCTTCCCTATGCATATTACAGTCAACATCACGCTACATCATTTTAGTATTCTCATTCACATGACGATTTAGTGTTTTTCTTCTAACACAACAGAACCGAATACTCGGATTGTTTACCGAAAAAACGATGTGTCTGTGTTAAACATATAAGAAAAAAAAAATATATATATATATATATATATTTATATGTAAACGGTGTCTATAAGCCATTAAAAGCTGCACAAAAAAGAAATACGAGCTTTTATATAAAATTGAGAGAGAAAGAGAGAGAGAAAGAATAATGAAGAATAACACCAGTCGTACCGAGCGCGATAAGGAATCCTTCCGAAAATAAAAGATTCATCAGAATCCATCTTGTTTCCTGTCGTGCATTTCCATGCTCAAGAGCTGTTGGACGTTGAGTGGAGATCGTCTATAGTTGTTGTCTAGAAATAGTTATACTATCATCAAAAGAGAAGCAGAAAAAGCAAAGAAACATGCACACAAAGAAGACTATGATCGAACTAATGTTTATGATCGTTAGTATCTGGGGAATTAAACAACAGAGAGAAAAAAAAGAGAAGACCTTGATCAACGAATGAATCGTTCGTTTATAGATGAACAACAGAATAAACAAGATTACGCGATTATAAAAGAGAAACAATAAGAATACAAAGCAAAAATTACCTAGAATAATAGAATGTGACAGATTGATTGAAAAAGCCAAATTGATGATGACCCATCACTCTATTTCTCTACAAAAAAAATGTCACATTCTTCTTATCGATCTCAACGATAAAAAGAAATAAAGAAGGCGTAAGAAAGGACAACGACAACGATGTAAACGGCAGCCATACATAGGCCACAAAGATCGATGTCTTTTTTTCTCTCTCACATTTTCTTTTGCACGATCTCCCAAAAAGAACAGAACACCCGACGGAAGATAGAAAAAAAATGTATGCATGCAGAATATAAAAAATGTTCATTAGTTGTCAATTTGACGCACGACATAGCAGGAGCAGATGTCGCCGACAAATAAATTTTGTTTATATTAAACTATTCATGACAATACTCCTACAATAGCATTGAATAAGTTTCCAACTGATTATATAGTTCAATCATCTGTAAAAGTTCGAAAATTATTTATAAATGTATCATTTTAGACTTAAAGAAAAAAAGAACAATTTTCTAAATTGATTAACTGAAAAAATATTAGATGGTATTCAATTTCTTCTAGCATCTGCATTCAATTTTATGTTAATGACATAATTTTCTATCATCAAGATATACCGTTGACAATTAATGTTTCTCTATTGATGACAAGGTAATTTGTCTACCTTGTTCTAATGTGCATGAATATAGTATTACAACGTTCCAGTTTAGATTTTTGTGTCCTTTGTTAATTAATGGTTATCGAGAGAATGACATGACGAAAAAAAAAAGAAAAAGACAAGGATAATTACTTATCACATCTGTAATGCCAACTAGTAATTTATGCATTTCAGTTAAAAAGAAAAAAAAATGAAATAAAAAAGAAAAAAAGGACAAGGTTGTACCTATGTGTGGACGAGTTTAGTGATGCGTAACTAAAGATACATCGACTGAAGAAAGACATCTAAGAAATTCAATAGACAAAATTACTTATAATAGCTATTGATTAGTCTACACGATATAACTTTATTTTATTTTCTTGATATAGACAAGTTATATATGGTTTTATTGTAGAAAAGAATAGTTATTCTTTCAATTGATTCTTACAGATTTTTATTAATATAGTCATTTTTATATTTACAATTCAAGGAGATCTTTACATCGATCAAATTCATTTACCGGTAAGAGATTCAATCAGAACCTTGTCGTAACTGTAATATTGAAAAATAAGTTCTTACAAGGCAAAAGATATGTGAACGTTAAATGAGCAATTTCAGTTATTGATAAAGGTACAAATAAGACGATCTTAATAATAAAAGAAAAAGAAAGCAATTTTAAATAGCAATAAAATCTCTGTTTTTATTACTTGTAAGTATAGATTTATTTTATTAAATAAAAAATATACCATACATTGATTATTTATTAATAAAAAAAGAAAACAAATTATTAACTTTGCTTTTTCTTCTGTAGTTTATATTTTTTTTCTTGAATAATCAAAGATGAATTATCCATATCCAACTTCACCATACATGCCAACAACAATGGCACAAGCCATGCAGGCACTGATGACTGGTAATCCATTACCACCCAATTGTTTTGTTGTAGCTATACCAATGGAACAAGCACAACAAATGTTTCCACAATTAATGATGAATTATGTATCGGGTGGTAGTGCAAAGGTATTTTCTCAACCATCATCATATTATGGTCAACTTTATCAACCACAACCAGGTCAATATCCAAATAATCAACAATCAAATGCTCTCGTACCTTATTCAAATTATCATTCACAAGGTTATCATCAAAATTATAATTATCCTATGGTTCCCTATGTTGATTATAACAATCAATCAAAGAGAAAAGATCACTATGGTAAAAACTATCGTTCAGAACCACATTCAAATGTTTATAATTCATCATCATTTGATTCTCATATGAATAATTTAAGTTGGAGTCGAATATTTGGTCATCATCATCCTCATGTAAAACAACGGCAACATGAGCAAGGTGCAATAGGTTATGAGCAAAAACCAACTTCATCAAAGCAACAACAACAACAACAACAACAACAGCAACAAACATACACAACTCATTCTTTAACATTATCCTCATTGACATCAACAAGTTCGTCATCTACTACAAGTGATGAGTCAATTCGACGAGTAACTGTATCAACTAAACAACCAGTTGAATTATCATCTTCAAAACAGCAACAAACAAAAGGTAGTTTACCATTTAAATATTCCTCAGATTTTGTTCCAGGTAATGAAAAACAAAAATTACAAAAATCCAATAGACGAGATACACATCTTAAATCTGATGATGTTTTCTTTGTTAAAACGGCTCAACAATCTCAGCCATCATCAAGAAAATAATTCCAGCAATAATAATAATAATAACAACAATAAGAACAAAAAAAAAAAGGAAGAAAAATTAATTTTTCTTTCTTTTTTATTTTAATAATAAAACTTTTTATTGCTTTTTTTTCTTAATTAAATAATTTTTGCATTGTCTCTTTTTATTCTTGACTATATATATTTTCAAAATCTTTAAATAGAAATAGATATATATATATGTTGATAAAGAGTCACCAGGAACTTAAAATAATCATCATCTGACACATTTTGTACAGAAAGAAAAAAAAAAAAAGAAAAGAAAACAAACATCATACATATTTTTGACTGTCTTTTTTTTGTGATTTTTAGAATCATATTATTTTTTTTTTCATTTGTTTATCGAAAATATTCAGCAGGAATGATGATAGTCGGTTGTTGATTTGTACGATCAACAATTGGATGAAGACGAAAATGTTGAGTAGATGGTTCAAAATTATTATATTTCTTTTGAGGAAATTGAAGAAGACGGGCATTAGTACTTTGACTTCCACCATCAATATCAAGTACCATACGTGTATGTTTTAGAAATATAGTAAAATCATCAGATTGATTACTCGATCGTTCAAAATTAACTGTTTGATATGGTGTACGAACACCCATAGAACGACAAAGAACAATTGGAGCGCACGGTGAAGGTGAACCACTTTCAGGAAAAAAAAAATTTATATTAATATATATATATATAGATGTATATTAAATATTTAATTACTTATGCACGGTTAAAATAAGACCAGTTAAATGATGTCGAATAATATAATCACGATAGCCAATATGTTGAATTTCAAATACTTGTGTTTCACCTTCATTCTATAAATTAATTTTCATAATATATAAGAAATGAATATATATACTTATATAAATACAAACATGTACATTCTGATCTTGTTGTACTAATGTTGAACGTTCAGGTGTAAATGTTATAAATTTACCTGAATGAATAACTTCAATTAAATATAAACCATCAGGTATACGTTCACTCTATTTAACAAAATAAAATTTTAAATACAAAAAAAGAAAAAAAGAAATTTATAAAAATCTTACCGCGAGATACCACTGATCGTGCATGGTATAAACGATGCTTTTCTTTTTATTTTTACTTGAATGATTTGTTTTTGGTATACGTTTAGAGCAATGTATTTCTACTGTTGCGTATTTATTTTTGTTGTTGTTGCTGCTGCTGCGAGTGTTGTCGACAAGCTATAGCGTGCAGAACGGCGAAGAATGAATCGCTCTCGTAATGATCGTGGCAAACAGGCAGCACACTCAGCTACGTTCACATCATCATCATCATTGACAACGATGGTCGGAAAAAAAGAATGATGAGAAAGTGCAAAACAAGACGCAAAAAAAACACGTGTGTTTATGTGACGAAATAAAAACTAAAGTAAATTGAAGTCTTATGACAACACCTAAGATAATCACACGAATAAATATACAAATAGAGACTTTGTAATTTAAATTTATATAAGAACTAAAAAAAAAAGAAAAAAAAACAACAGGAGAATGAATTGAAATAAATTTTATATGAAGAAGAAAAAAAACAAGAAATCTATAACATAATATATATAGATATATATCATATGTTTTTACGTATATAGAAATTCATTGATCATACACATATTATTCTCAAGTTAACTTGTTTTCTTGTCCTCTATTATCTCAAGGATCCAGTAACTATAAATGAATCATCATAAATAGCTGATCTTATGCGTACTATACTATATTTCTCTTTTTCTTTATCGACAACAGCACGCGACTCGATGATGACGATAAACTTTCTTTTTTTCGTCTTGTATTCTCATGGAAGAAAGAAGAGAAAA